TGCTACTACTGCTACTACTACTATTGTTGTTATTCTTGCCTTATTATTGTAACTGTTTTCATTAATCATCAGTTTAGTAATGTTGCTGTTGTAAGGAGTAAATAGTAGTAGTAGTAGTTGTTGTTNNGTAGTTGTAGTTGTAGTAGTAGTAGCAGTATCATTCTTAATATTGTTGTGAGTCTTAGTATGAGTAAAGAAGCGAGGTTTTCTTCTGGTGAGATATATAGGGGTACCCTGGGCCTGGCCTTCGTTTTGTCGACGAGGCCGATGGTGCAAGCGGTTTTGCCGTAGCCGATGGCATCCGCCAAGACGCCGCCCTTGACGTTGTGATACTCGCAACGGAGGCTTCCTGGCCACAATCTTTGAGGATTTTGGCGATGCCTGCCCTCCCTCTTGCACGCTGTCCTTCCAGCTTCCAGTGGGGAGCATCTGGACAAGAAACGGCCTTCCGTGAAAATCTCATGGCATGAACAGGCGGAAAGAAGAGCGCCCTGGCTGCAACTGTCGTGCAAGTCCCATGATTGCATGTCTGTGTGCCTCCCGCAGCTCTGTGACAAAAGGCTCCTCTGTGCTCCGCTGTTCCTGAAGCACAGAGCACAACAAGCGACACACTTCGATCTTCTGCTTCCTTCCCTCCCCGTCCGCCTGTACAAGCATCCATCCCAAGGATCTCAATTGCTCTCGTCGCAAAGGATATTGCAAGAAGTTCGGTGGCTGCGTGGTGGCAGCATCCTTCAGAAGCCAAGGCGGCGAGAAGCTACGCTGCGGCACCAAGAATGAGCCCGAAGCCTCCGAAGCCTAAGCCTCAAACTCAAACCAAAGCAAGGAGTCCTCCAAGTTGCTCAGGATTGAAAACTCTCCGACTGCGTGGGACGTCGATCGGTCCTCAAGATCCTTCTCCTGGACTGCTGTTCCGATGCTAGGCGACTGCTTGGCACTAGCTGCAGGCTGTCCTCGCCATCCTTTCCATCCGTGGAGTCAACGACCCGCCACACGAACCGGGCGGCCGGCACCCGGCCTTCTGCTCAAAGTGCAAGCACAGAGACTAAAAGGATCGAGACGCTCCCCTTCCACTGCCTCGACGAACCATCCTCATCAGCAACACTCCTGCCAGCTCCGGGCCAAGAAGAGCAGTGCTAAGTTAATGAAGGCCGCCTGGCCGGAGAAGCACTCGCAACATTTGTCGGCCAGGGTGAACTTGCAGGAGCCAGGCCTCCTCCTCGCGAAGCTGAGAGCACCGGGCTGTCTCTGAGGCTACCGCGGCTACGGTCTCCTCGACAACCCTCGCAGCATCGCCGGGAAGATCGAGGGGCAGTTGCCATTCCTTCGCCGCAGGAGGAACCTGTGCAGGGCCACAGTCCGTTCTTCTCCCTGCCCTCTCACATACTTCACATACATACATACATACATAC